TGATCATTTCTTGGACATGTACCAGTTTTCAAATGATTGAGAGAAAACTTAGCTGGATTTTGGAAGAAATACCCTGCAACACCTTGTCAAGTATATGTACTAATGGTTCCCCCAGGCCTTCCCCAAAGGGACCCATTTGCACCGATTAGAATCACTGTTCTAGGGGAATGGGAGGATCCATATATTTTGAGGGTTGTGGGATACAGGGTCAGAGTACACACTGATACTGAAATACTGGAAACAATCTCATGGCTCTCCTGTTCAAATGGAGGCATACAGAGGCCAGGAAATAAGTGGAGTTAGTCTTACAGTCTTCTTTACAGTGGGTCCAGTGATACACAAATCAAATTAGTGACCATTTAGGGGCTCCCTGGTGGTGCAAGGGGTTCAAGCATAGCACTATGAAGCCAATCTCAGTCACTGCAACATGAGTTGGATCCTGGCCAGGGGGCTGACCCACGTGATGCAGCAGACCTCTCCTGTCTCTCCTGCTGCTCCCCTCAGCAGTGTATTTCAATAGATCTGTCTGTTCTGTTTCCCACTCTATGATGAATGCTCTCATCCCATCCCACTGCCTGCACCACACCCCACAACCCCCCGCACTACTGGCCTGTACTCCAGTTCTTATAAGAATAAATAAATAAATCTTTTTAACAAATTAGTGACCTGCCCTCCCCGGTGGTGCAACAGGTTAAAGCACAACACTAAGAAGCTAAAGCCACTTCAGCATAAGTTCAATCCCCACCCAGGAGGTGACCCACATGGCGTGGCAGACCTCTCCTGACCCGCCTGCTGCTCCCCTTAGTAGTGTACTTTGTCAGTCACCAATTGTGCTTCCTACTCTGTCTCAGGTGAATCCTCTCACCACCCCTGCTCCCCAGTTTTGTATGCATAAATAAATAAATATTTTATTAAAAAATTAGTGACCATTCACTCAGCTGAGAGTATAATTGGGATTGACATACTTCACTGATGGGGTAATTTCCATATATTATCTTTGGCTGTGGAGCATAAGAACTGTCATAGAAAGGGAAGATGAGGAGACAGAGGCCTTTGAAACTGTATTTTGCTGGCCAAGAAGAAAATCTGAAACAGTATCACAATGTCAGGGAGATTATGATTAATGACACTCTTAAAGATATAAAAAAGTAATAGTTCACATCAGGTCTCCACTTACTTTAACAATCTGGCCCCTGCAGAAACCAGATGAGTTAATGGGATGATTCTAAACTACTATAGGTTCAACCAAGCAGCAGCACTTATGTAGCTGCCGTATCAGGTACAGGTACATTCTATGTGATTACTGATTTAGAGAGTGCGTTATTTACTATCCCATTTAAGTAAGAGAGTTAGAAATAGTTTGTGTCCACACAAAATAACCAGACAGCATATGCACTTACACTTTGAACCCTGGGCCATGTTAACTCTCTTTTCTCTGTCATAATACAGTTCAAAATCTGAATCAACCAGAAAACCTTTAAAGCATGATATGGGCCTATTATATTAATGGCCTTAGGCTGATCAAATGGGTCAAGCAAGAAGTAGTTGGCATGCTGGAGGTTTGTGCTCCAGAGAGAGGAAAATGAGCCCTGTAAGAAATCAAAGACTACTACTTTCATTAAATATTTTAGGTTCCAATGTTCAGGGAATTGATAGAAAAATACTCTCAGAGCACAAGATGAATGTCTGCCTCTTGCATTCCCCGACCCCCCTTTAACAATGGAGAAAGCATAATGCCCTTTAACAATGGAGAAAGCATAATGCCCAGTGGGCTGTTTTGAATTCTGTTTGGCCCATATAATAAGACATCATAAAAAGCTCCCAGCTTTGTATCTGGAAAAGAAAGTTGCAGCAGGTGTGAACTGGTACAAACAGTCTTGTACATAATAGGTATATAATAGGGTAGAATTGTCACTTTTGGAGGAAAATATTAATTAGTAGGAGAATCATATCTCCTAAAGTTCTGACTTTTGAAAATCTGTTCTTGGCATGCTACTGGTAAATAGAAAATACTTGACCATAGAACACTAAATGACACAAAAAGAAATGTATCTTACTGAATCCACGTCATAAATTCTGGGACCATCCAGATGAAAGCACAGGTAATCTACACTAGCAGACAACTGGAGAGCACAGGTAATCTACACTAGCAGACAAGGCACACCTTGATGTCTTCCATCACATTTACATTGAGATCCATCTCTCAGTCATATGGATGGCCATGGGGTAACAGTAAGGTCTTGCACAAACTGATAAGGTCTGGCAGGTCTGGGAGACCTGTAAAGTCTTTTAACTACAGTTTCTCTCAACTTGCAAAGAGGGAGAGAGAAGTAATCCAACAAATCCTTAATGGGAAGGAGTGATGGAGCAAGCTCTGCATAATTAAAAGGGACCCCTCCCCATCTAGAAAGGAAAAATCCTTGAAAACCTCCTACTTACTGCTAAGTACAATGAAGAAGTGAATCAATGAGTTCAATTGTGGCTCAAGACCTTCTACAAAGATTGAGGCTGTTGGGTGTTCCATAGTTGTCTTTAGGAAGAGTGTGCGTTTATGTATATGTATATAGAATTTCTATATAATGGTGCAAGGTGTAATCTGTGATGAACACAAAGATGTTCTGTCAAATACCTCTTTATGCAAAGGCTTTTCTGCCTAGTTGTGAAGAGCACAGTTAGGTGACAGCCTTCAACTATTAACATGTTTTCTTTTTTTAAAGAAGTAAATCTATTAAAGCTTTTATGATACATGATATGATCATGTGCTGATATATAGAAAACTAGTAATGCTTTCAAATCTGCCTCAATTTTTGAATAGAAGCCACACTGAGCAGTGCTGCATTACAAAGGCCTAGTCATTTTATCCCAGAATGAGATTCTTGGAGTTACCTCTTTCCTGTCCAGTTTAACTTTTCTTTTCACCTTCTCAATTTTTTTTAATATTTATTTATGCATACATAACTGGGGTCTAGGCCAGAGATGCAGGGGCAGTGAGAAGATTCACCAGAGACAGAGTGAGGAGCAGAACAGGCCGACTGACAAGTACACTGCTGAGGGGAGCAGCGGGTGGGTCAGGAGAGGTCTGCCGCACCTTGTGGGTCACCTCCAGGGTGGGGATCCAACTCATGCTGAAGTGGCTTTAGCGTCTTAGTTCTGGGCTTTCATCAGATGTGCCACCAGTGAGGGCTCCTTCTCAAATTCTTAACTCTAGATCCGTTTGCTTCCTGAAGGTTCAAAGTACAAATGTAGTCTTTTCTAGCTTCCCTAGTTTTAACTCCAACTTTTCTATTTCTTTTGATAATTGTATAAGTGGTGAATAGGTATTATATTGGGCTGTTTGCAGATATGGATACAAATATTTACCAGATTCATCTAGCCTTGCTTTGGTAAAATTGAAATCTCTTATTTATTTTAAGACAATAAATAAGAAATATATATATATAATATATATATATAATATATATATATTAAGATTTTATTTGTACATACAGAACTGGGGTACAGGCCAGAGGCTCAGGGGCGGTAAGAGGCCTCACCAGAGACAGAGTGGGGAACAGAACAGGCAGATCGACAAAGCACACTGCTGAGGGGAGCAGCGGGTGGGCCAGGAGAGGTCTGCCACGCCATGTGGTCACCTCCTGGGCAGGTGGGAATCGAACTCATGTGGAAGCGGCTTTAGATTCTCAGTGCTGTGCTTTAACCCGCTGTGCCACCAGGGAGGGCCTAAGAAATACATTTTTAATTAAGGTCAAATACCTCAAATATAAAAAATGAACAGGTAATGCATTTATATATGTGTGTGTGCGTATAAATATATACATAAGTATATATATACTTACATATACTTATATGTATATGTTTATATAGACACACACACACATAAACATACAAATTATCTCAAAAGCATCAACTCAAACGTATTAACTAACTCAATTCTTGAAATTACTTGATGAAGTGAATACTATATTATCATTTAGTTCAGGAAATGGGGTGCAGTGTGATATAACCTGCTGGAGATCAACTTCATGAGTACATTAACAGATTTATAACTTTAGCATGTGTATTCTGGCACCAGCCTTTTTATATATAACCACTATGCTCTTCTGCTACAAGAAAGGGCTGGAAGAAGTTCCCTAAATTGTTAATACAGGAATGCTCCGAAAAGATGGGTCTTATTTATACAGTGGAAGTAGAAAAAGATAGTTCCCAAACAAGAACAAGTAGTTGAACTCATAAACCTTGTTATTTTAAAAAAAGTAAAGCTTATAGGGGGGGAAAAAAAACTGATTACCTCTTATCTCTGTACAGGCTGCTATTTCCAGGTTGGTCAGGAAATTTTAACCTCATGATGTTTTGCCAGCTGGTACCTCAACCTAAAATATATGCATCACCTTCTCTAAAGAGTTGGCGTCTCCTTATTACTTCACTCAGGTTACTGTACAATATTCTTCCATTCTCAGGAGCTTGACCTCTTGAAACTTTTTAAGACAATGGTTAACACTTTTAGTCATATAAATGTTCGTGGTCTAACTACTACAAAAGTGTGAAAGGTGTGTCTGCTTTCTTAATATAGCCAAGAATATTTGACTACTAAGGTCTTTTGTTTTGCCAGCGGCGGAGAAAGAGTAATAAATTTTCCCACTCTTATCAGGCGAGTGAGTTTCTGGTACTTACTTCCGGTCGCTAACCAAGAAGAACTACAATTCCCACAATACTTTGCGATATGCACGCGAAACCAAGAGTTTATGTCATTTCCGCCCTCTCAGCTGGTGGCTTATGGACTTTGTAGTTTGTATCAACTTCACTTTTGTCGCCGTCCTTTGGAAAGAGGAAATGCGTCCGTATAGACTGCTTTGAATTTGATATTACAAAATAGCATTAAAAATAAATTAATAGGGTAGCATATCAAAGCCAATTTAGCATAAAGCTTTTATATATTTCACTGTCCATCTTCCTCCCGCCGGTGCCCGGGAAGGGGAAGTGACGTGCTTCCGGTGTAATGGCGGCGCGGTAGAGCTCCAGGTAATTATTGAACTCCGTAGACTCGCAGCTGGCAGCGAAACAGAGCGGGAAGGGGGCGATTGCCGGACCGGGTGGGAAGTAAAAAGGAATTGAGAATGGATGCGGACTAGTAGTTGTGCCCGTGGGCGGGGTTAGGGTGCGCTTTCCTCCCCGACGATGAGCCGTCCAGCTAGGCTGGAACGTGAGACCTGACAGGCCTAAGAGCCAGAGCTAGTGTTGAAGGGTCGCTGGTGAATCTCACGCTTTAGCTGTCGGACGTACCTGCCTAATGAGGTTTCTGGAGCTGTCTTCCCGTGTTGCCTTTGTTGCTGGAATCTAGAACCAGTGCTGTTCCTCTCCTTTCTCGTGCGGCTTGTTTCCCACACAGATTCTTTGGGTTTCTCGAGGTCTCTTTCAAGTGCCGGGGTCCCAGGCAGCGGGGGTGAAATTAATAAACTCTAGTTAATTTTAAAATAGTTCAGATTTCACTGTTATGCCCTGATTCGGCGTAATACTACTGTGACTGGTTTTAAATTTTCGATAGACGTTTCCTTTTAATTTCTTTGTCTCCTAAATACAGATAATTATAGCATATTCTTCCTCGTTGTATGTTTTTCCTTTAGGATCTTTTACCCTTTGTAACTTCAGCTACCTCCAGTAAGGTCATAACTCCTAAATTTAGGTCTCCAGTCTCATTAGATCAGTCTCTTGGAGTAAGTTACCCAACTCCTGAAAAATGTGGAAAATACGTGATACCACTTACCTCAGTGGTGTTTTTGAGGTTAAGAAGAATAATGCATTTAAGTATTGTATTTTTCCTCTTAGAGTATGAGAAGTTCATGAATTCACTCTGCCTCACTTCTCACTTCATAATCTTTTTTCCCTAAAGATTGATCCTTTACTTAATTTTGCTTGCCACTTCCATGGATACTTTCCCACTTCATGGCAAGCCCCGAGACTAATGCCATGGCCCAATTCTTAGAATATGTATGAATTAACAAAATTGGTATCCTCGTGAAACTTGTTAGCAGTATAATTACTGGACTTTATCCCAAGCCTGTTGAGACCACCTATCCACCCACCTCCAATCTTTTTTCCCCCAAACCAACAAATGATTCTTATTTATGTTGGTTTGTGAGTGAGTGCTCTAGCTCATGTTCAAGGGTTGTAGTACATCGCTCATCCCCACCGGCACTCCTACAATCAGGTTTGCTGCCTTCATTGGTAGTATTTGATTCATGGTCAGCCATTATTTCCAGATTAATATGCTGCCACCACTTTCGATAGTTTATTTAGCTCCATTCACCTCTCGAAGTTTGATATTTCTAGACTGCTTACTTGTCTTTCTTAAATGGTTTTTCTGTCTTCTGAATTATTAGAAGTTAACTCTCCTTTCTGAAGATTGTACATTGTGAAGTGATCTATTCTACCTGCGATCACCTAGCTCTACACAGTGATAACAATGTTTTTAATGCCTGTGCCTCAGTATTTTGTTTATTGCCCATTGTATTTAGATTGAATTTTGTATCACCTGATTTATCCCTAACGTGATGTAAGTCATACTGACTTACAGCTAGTTTTACAATACACACAAGGCATTTTAGCTGATCCCGTTGATGACTTTGAAGGCTCCCCAGTTAGATTTCTCTGTTCTAAGACTTCTAGCATGGGAAGCTGATGTAACAAAAAGGCTCTTGGGATATTAGTTTCAGCAGGCTTCTAGATTTACTAAACCTGTGGCATAAATACATAAATCTCATGATGTATATTTTCCAAGTGAACACTGGAAGAGACATTTCACTATCAAAATTATTATAACAGGACAGGAAGAAATGGATTAAAGTAAGTTTTGCAATATATAGCCAAGCCAATAATTCTTTTCCAATTAACAGCTACCAAGAGATAGTATGGGTTGCCTTCGCCTGGAGACATAAGAACTCCTGCAATTTTAGAACAGGTTTTATATATATGATTAACTGGAGACTAATATTTAACCTCTTTGAGCCTAACCTGTAAGTGACTCAGGTTAGTCAGAGTTCAGTACTTTCATCTGAAAATTTATTCTAAGTTTTTCCTTGAATTTGTTTGTCAGAATAGCTTTATACTAAAACTGATAACAGGAGCTTCTATAGTGAAATACAGTGCTCTGTGTCTAGCGGCTACTTCATAAAATTCTTTTAAAGCCAGTAGCTCTGATTTTCTTGAAAGCGATGTGATCCATGATAACTCTAACTAATCAGAAATACTTTCAAAGCTGTACTGTGAGAGTTGGTGGATATACCCAATCCATATGTTTTATTAGGGAAGTTGAACAGATTTTTGGAGCAGGGAAACAGTGGTATACTCATATTTATTAAACTTGTTCATGTAAGTTGAAGCAACAGCAACTTCAGGTCAGATTTCATTTTGCTATGCTTACTAAAAAATGATATTTTTCTCAGTAGAAAAGTTTATTCAAACTGCCCTCCATATTAAATTAACATTGGGTGAAGACAGATAGAGGGTGGCTCCTGATGATGCTGTCTTATACAATTGATGACTGACAACTTTGTGGCTACTACAAGAGGGTTGATAGAATAAGGCTGCTCTGATATTCCTTGGTAAGGAAATCATCAAAATATCATTTTAAGGAGCTATATGAACGAAGAAATAGGAGTAAGCATCTACAGTACACCCATACCCTTTTAAATTTAAGAATTGGGGCCCTCCCTGGTGGCATAATGGGTTAAAGCACAACACTATGAAGCTACCACAGCCACTCAGCAAGAGTTCAACCCCCAGCCAGTGAGGTGACCCACATGGTGCAGCAGATGTCTCCTGTCTCCCGCTGCTCCCCTCAGCAGTGTATTCCACTTGTTCTGCCTGTTCTGCTCCCCGCTCTATCTCTGGTGAATCCTCTCATTGGCCCTGCACTTTAGGCCTGTAGCCCAGTTCTATATGCATGCATAAATAAATATTAAATTAAAATAAAATAAATTTAATTTTAAGAATTGGAATCTATTTAGTGCACATACTGTACTGGGTTCTGGAGTTATTTGTATCTATAGGTGAATGTGTGTATCTATATGTATACACACACATATACGTATGTGTATATATATAAAAAAAAAGAGTGACCGAGAATTTGAAAGATTCCGTCTTAAAACAGTCATTTATGCATTAGCTTCACAAATGTCATTCCATCTCATCCTTCTCACTTGACCTAATGTAGGTACTCTCTCCTACTCAACTTAAATTCTTCCAAATTATTTTTTATATCTGAATCTTTACACATACTGATCCTATTGCCTGAATGACCTTTTCTCTTTTGCCCAGATAATGACCCTTTTCAACCCTTTCCTACATCATTGTCAAGATTCATCTTTAAGACTGTTTCTTTATGTATGTATGTTACTTGCACTTCCTCTTTTCCTCTATTATTGTGTTGTATGTCGTTATATCATGTAGGCTTTTACTTTCATCTCTCAGACCTCAGTGCTTTATGTGCAACTTAAAATATCTATCACCCCGCTATACACAGACACTACCTTTAATGCTGTGCCCCTACTTTGTACCAGATTATAGGGGATATAGAAGTAAAAGAATATGAGAGTACATTGCTGTTTCTAACCTTAGCCTTATTATACTTCTTCATTTTCTCTGTCAGTACTCTTCAACCATTTTTTTATATAACAATTTACTTTTACATCATTTTGTACATTTTTTTTTCCATCTCAATTGTAATCCCCGTGGGTTTCCCATCACCATGTCACCCGTGTGCCATCACCATAATCCTGTGCACTTCCCTCCCCACTTCCCCGTTTTTGATCACATTCCCCACTCCACCCCCACAAAATATCTCTGATATATGGTTGTTCATTATTTTTGTTATTTTCTCGCCTGCTCCTTTATACTCCTGCTATGAGTGAAACCATCCGATATTTTTTTCTCTTTCTGGCTTATCTCACTAAGCATTATCTTTTCCAGTTTCATCCAAGTTACTGCAAAAGACATGTGTTTCTCTTTTTTGGTTGCTGAGTAATATTCCATTGTATATATGTATCACATCTTTTTTATCCAGTCATCTACTTTTGGGCATTTGGGCTGCTTCCATGTTTTTCCAATTGTAAATAAAGCAGCAATAAACATGGTGGTACAGGTATCTTTTTCAATCAGTGTTTTTGTGTCTTTTGGGTAGATACCCAGGAGTAGGATTGCTGGATCGTAGGAAAGCTCGTTTAGCAGTTTGAGGAACTTCCAAGCAGTTTTCCATAGTGGTTGTACTAGTTTGCATTCCCACCAGCAGTGCAGGAGAGTTCCTTTTTCTCCACATCCTCGCCAACATTTGTTGTTGCTAGTTGTTTGAAGATGTGCCATTCTCACTGGGGTGAGGTGGTGTCTCATTGTGGTTTTAATTTGCATCTCCCTTATTACGAGTGATGTTGAACATTTTTTCATATGCCTGTTGGCCATCTGCATTTCCTCTTTGGAGAAGTGTCTTTTTAGCTCTTCTGCCCATTTTTGATGAGGTTGTTTATTTTTGTTAAGTTTCGTCAGTTCTCCGTATATTTTTGTGATCAGTCCTTTATCACTACTTTTGTGTGAGAAAATGTTTTCCCAATTAGTGAGCGGTCTGTTTTTTGTAATGTCTCTTTTGCTGTACAGAAGCTCTTTAACTTGATGTAGTCCCATCTATTTATCCTTGCCTTCACTGTTGTGGCATTGGGTGCCCTGTCTTTAAAGATGTCACTGAAGTGTATGTCATGTAGTGTTTGACCCATCTTTGCTTCCAGGTATTTTATGGTTTCCGTTGAACCACTTTTTAATATAATTATAAATTATGACTCCAGCTTCACTTTTTTAAGTTGCCCTCCTGTGTGTCCTGTAAAAATAATTTCGACTTTTACAGATGAACAAAGGAGATTCTACTGCACAAATAAAAATTTTAACACAAAATGAAGAATATACTCAGTGAGTGATTAGAAACATTACAGCTGTTTCTTTACCAGAAAGGCAGTATTAAGTATAGCTATAAGGGTTGT